GTATGTATCTTTGCTTCAGCATTTCAAGAAGGCTTTGCTCTTGCATCTCATTGTAGTCATGCCTCATCTTTTGTCTTTCCTTGGTGATTTAACACAAAAATACATGATCAAAAATGTCTCTCTGAAAAGCAATCTGATAAGCAGGAGCAACGAAGTTATTAGCAATCTGTAGTTAAGACATGTTAAACAGTAGATGAGTGATGAGGAATTCTGTTAGATGCTGATGTTAAAGATCACTTGCTAGGTCACTGATCTTTTAGAGTATGCGGGGAAGGGACAAACCTACTACTTCATGGAGTAAAGGTGACCAGCATGTGGAAGAAGGAGATTAAGCTCTAGGTGTCTTTTCTCTACTTATGTCTAGATATCAATGAGTGTGAGATCTTTGGAACATGCACCCAGGACTGCAAGAATTCCAAAGGAAGTTATGAATGTTTCTGTGCAGATGGCTTCAGGTCTGTGGGTGATCAACAAGGGAAACAGTGTGCAGCTAATGGTATGTTAACAGATAGCAAGATTGATTGCTGCCTTTAAAAAGCAAGTGGAGTATAGCAACTTAATGAATATAATCCTCTCTTTTTTAGGAAGGAGATAATGAAAACCAAAATTTATTCTGTAGCATAATATTATCTGTGTATTCCACCCATTCCATAATCAGGAATAGAAGTGCTCATCTCTGCTTGCAACTGTAAACATTAAAAATAGTACCTTGATTTGAATGCCTGCCTTCCTTTCTCCTGAAATTTTCTGCAAACAAAAAACTGCTTATCCTGTGGCTGTCGTCAGAAGGAAATTAATGTTGCCTATTCCTGAAGTTCAAATTTTCTCAACAAAAGAATGCATCAGAAGAAAGTTGCGTTAAAGTGGTACAAATCAAAGGCAGTTTGATGACAGATTGCCATTCATTGTTCGTGGACTGATGCACACAAACAGAAGGACTTTGGCCAATGTTTAATGACAGTCATTAGCTTTTTACCATACCTCAGTGCAGTGACTACAGTGTGTGACAGGTTGAGACAGGTTGAGAGTTGATTCAGAAAACAATAGCAATAGAATAGTAATAATAAAGAGCTGAAGAAAATAGAATAAAGTGACAATGCAGCAGTATTACAAAAAAGACAGAAACAATACTGTATTTAGAAAAGTACTTACACTTTAACAGCTTTAAGAGATAGATGATAGAAATGTGGTGTGTCTAGTCGCATAGTAAAATCCTCCGAACAGAATGCCTGTGACCAGAACTGTGTGCTGCTGGAGGTTTTGAAACCTAAAATTTACTTGTAATATGAGAAATGATACAAGAAAACCAGGTCTCCAGGTTTCCAGTCCAGGGGCCTAATTCAGCAGATACTTACTGTTGAGCATGAGACTGGAAATACAAAAGGGCATTTGCACCTCAGTTTCTGCCTGGCTGCCTCTTTATGTGCCTGTGTTGGAAATCTAGTTCTTTGAAGCCCTTCTTCATAGGCTTTATTCAGGAAGCATCTAGACACCCAAAGTTTTCAAGGCTAAGTGATAGAAGATAACATGATTGTAGCTGATAACATCATGAAGTCTGTTGTGCCTATAGTTCTACTTCTGTGTATGCCCAGAACTCTGCCACTCTTTGTAGTACAAGCTCACAGCACTCATGAGGGCTTCCTTTGCCTGTGTCTGCTGCAGGCCTGATCAGTAGGCATTTTCAGAAAACACATAGAATATTAGATTTCCTTTTTCCTGTAATAGCATGTGTATTGGAAATGCTGTCAATTTCTACACTGAACCGTATGTTCATTAGAAAATAGTCACTTGCCTTCTCCCATAGTTGGGTGTGACTTAGAGGGAAAGGGATTATGTTCAAATTAACACTTCATAGGAAATTGAGCATTGTTAGTTGGAAAAGGCACTGGTAAATGAGATTTTCCTTTCCCAGCTGAATGCTTTGTCATTTCTCATTGGCTCTGTGAAGATGTGATTATTGTAGGAGAACTTTTCTGGAAGAAGGCCTAGGATTTAAGTCCATGACTCCCAAATGGACTTTGTCCTTAGCAAAAGGGCTGAACAATTACATTTTCTCACCAGCAAAATCAGCCAGATGGGACTGATACTCCCTATAGTCAAGTTATTAGAGTATTTAGGCTAACCCCAAATTAAGCTGTGGGTAGGAGAACATTCATCTGAATATGGAGACATTAGGTTTTAAAGACTTCCAGGTAGAAGAACTCAGACAGGTTGTGGCTCAAGGTACCGGCAATTTATTTGTACTTTCAAAATTGTTTCCTGTACTTTGAGGGGGGGAGCTGAACTGCATAGTGTATAGTGGCATTCTATTTTTGAGATGTGAGGTGGTGATATGCCAACACTGTAATGTTTAAGAATTTTTAAGGAATTATCCCTTAATGATTACTACTGCACAAAGTCTGGTGAAAAGGATAATACTGTCCTCAGCAGTAAGCATTTCCAGAGTTTTTAATGAATTTTGCAAAGCCAAGAAGTTAGAATAGCTCTGAAGCTTTGGAAGTGGCCCTGTGTTCCTTCTGCTTCTTATGCAGACAGAAATTGTGAAAACCCCACTTTAGTTTTGACTAGGAGTGACTTTCATCTCTCTCTTCTAAAATGGATACATGAAAGTAAAATTCATGATTGTTTCCCAGGTAATCCTCCATTGTTACTGCTGCCAGATAACGTGCGGATTCGAAGATACAATATCTCATCAGAACAGTACTCTGACTATATTGATAACCAGGATCGTATCCAAGCTCTGGATTATGATTGGGACCCTGAAGGAATAGGCCTGAGTGAGTATGTGTAGAACATTAATACTCAACCATGCAATGGTTGGTTTAAAAAGACGCATTTCTGCAGCGTAGCTATTTAATTTACACTGGAAATAAAAATCAAATTAGATTAACTGGCCAGGTCTTGGTTGAATGCGTCCCTCCCCTCTACTCATTCTTCAGCATCAGTGTTGTTCCTTTTAATGCTTTAATTCAGTTTAGCTAGGTTTTGTTGTGCTTTTCCTTTTGTTTTGGTGTGAGTTCAGCTGTGGAACTGTGGCTCTTTAGAATTATGCAGTAGTAGAGGATTGCTATAAATGAACCCCTTCCTTTTATTCTGCCTCTGCCAGTCCCCAAACCTGGCTCAAATCTTGCAAGAACTAATCCTTATACTAAGTAGGAATGGCCAATAGATCCCTATGTTAGCTTATATCTTTTCTTCTTTATCGGCTTCCCTGCTTTTGCCTTTTTCACAGGGTCACTGTCCTGGGTTGTACTTGCTCATTAGGGTCATGAGAGTCTAAATTACTCTCAAAATCATTTGCAAAGGCTTCAGAGCTAAGATCCTCTATTCTTGAAAAATGTGATACATATTTCTTGACAATCTAGATCAAGATTGTTTTAGATGTGTATCTTACCTATGATGAATAGCTTAAAAATTTACACACTAGCACAATGTAATTTAATTGAACAGATGACTTCGTGTTACTCATAAATAAATGGGTTTGGTATCTTCACATAAAGGCCTCAGAAAGATTAGAATTTTCAAAAAATATGGAATAATTAGACATTAAAAATTATCTTTGTCATCTTTTTTTGAAGGTATTGTGTACTTCAGCATTCTGGGACAGGGTTCTGAATTTGGAGCCATCAAACGTGCTTATCTGCCCACATTTGACAGCAGTAGGAACAATCCTACGAAGGAAGTTGACTTGAATCTCAAATACATAGTTAATCCTGATGGGTTAGCTGTTGACTGGGTTGGAAGGTAAGTGCACTCAAAAGCTAGAAAAATACTGTACATTGAATGTGTCAAGGGTCTGATCAGGCAGTGCACAATCCACTTTTTTCTTCCTTATGAACTGTCTCTGAAGATATCCAGTCTCAAGGTAGTTCAGAAGAATATAGTAAGTTCTGTTTGCCCAGACAGCAGGTTAATAGGTCAAATGCATGTTGCTTACTGCACCACACATCCTCTGAGGAAGCTTGCATTACTCCACAACTGGCAGATCAGTTGTGCATCAGTAAAGTGATAATACACTGGCATTCATATCAGATGGATTTTTCTTCAAGGACTCAGGTAAGCTCCGGGGAACAAGCTTTCTCTGCTGTTGGAAGCAGACCTCCCCAATCCATAATGGAATTTGTCTTTTCTTTGCTCCTTTCTCCCCAGCCTTGTGCTATATGAGCTAATCCCAAAGCAGAAGCAGCTCTGAAGTCTGATGAATATACGTGTTTTCTCAGAAAATGGTTACGTTTTTGATTATGTCGCAGAGTTGTTTTTCTCCTTTTTGTTGGTGGTGGATTTTTTTTTTTTAGGCTAAAATATGGCAATTTTTTAATTTAATCCTAGAAATCATGAGATCGCTGCTTATTTTCCCTCCCTTGGAGGGGAGCTGGGAGAAAGTTGGGCATGACTTTTGGGAGTTTGATGTCGATGGTGTCATTTCTTATTTGCAATGTAACTGTTAAAGGATGTGGTGGACAGGCATAGCTTAGTTCATTTGGTATAATGTTGAGAGGATCCTGATGTTTGTAGATAGACTATGAAATGTAGGATTCTGTTTGAAGCTGAATGGACAGAGGTTATAGAGATGAGTCAATGAGTCAATCTTCTGAACGCTGTTGACAAATTTTGGATGTTCCTGGTAATGCAGTCAATAGGGAGAAGAGGGAGGATGTTAAGATCATAGTAAAGCATGACATTTCTGGAAAGCTGAAAACTAAAAGAAGGAACTTAGCTGTCTGCTTTCTGTCTGCTACATGGTTATGAACTAAGTGGATGAATACTTTACCTTTTGTGTCCTCAGTCAAAATATGATTGGAAGGTGCTTAAGATCTGAACTGCAGCTAGGTAGCACTTAACTCTGAATTGTGTTTGTGGCAACAGAATTTTTTTTTTTTTTTCCCCCCCTAATGATTCAAAAAGCTATTGTATGAGTAGGCAAAGATTGGGAAAAGACTTATTCCAGTTTGGGGCCTGATATGTAGCTTTCATTATCTAGACTCTTTGTGTTAGGTGATGTGTGCTATGTTATGTGCTGTGTCCTATGAAATAGTTATGGAGTTGCTCATGCAGTATGTCACCCTGATTTCTAGAGCAGGATAAAGTCAGTCTAGCTGGCTGAAGTGATTCACTAGCCTGAAAAATTGTGCCATGATGGAAAAAAAGAAGTGGAAAATTGTATCTTTCCTTCAGCAGTTTGTAAATATGAGACAGATATATTGAAGTCTAGGCTAGCTTTCAGGTTATTTTGCTGTCTGCTTCGTGAACTGCAGGCCACCCAGAAAACCAAATGTCTCTGAGGGCAGAAGAGAGTGTCTGAATTTCTATTCACAAATCTATATGGTCATGAGAGCAGTGATAAAAGATATATATCACCAGCATCCTGGTGAGGCTAGCATCTTCAGCACTTCAAACATAGTGTCAGCAGTTCAAACATAGTGTTACACAGAACAATGTTGAAACGTATTTTAAAAACCCATATTTAAACGTCTGTCCCAAGCCAGTTGTGAGATAATTTGTTTCATCAGAAGGCACGGTGTGATTAGTGAGTGCATAATAATGAGGATGATTATTATGTAAGGTGAAAAAAATAATAAAGCTATGATGATAAAGGTAAGCAAAGTTCAAGGAAGAATAGACTGAGTGCCCTGTTTGTAAGGACTTAAAGCATTTGCATCTCATGTGGTAACAATTTATTCATTAACATGTCTGTCAGAAGACAAAAGTCTAGAGAGGAGCTGTGGACTAATAAGCTGGATACCTTCAGAGTTGCCGTATAAATTACATGGTAAATAAATTTTTGATTGTAATGAACCTCATTGTCTCCTGGAAAACTGAATCTTTAAAGATGCTTATTAGCCACTTCTGGTGCTTAAAAGTAACAATGAAAGTTCTCAGTAGCCCTTTAATGGAGATTATTTTACAGGGAACAGAGGCAGCTGTGGAAACTTTGTCAGATGAGAAAACTAGTGAGCCGATAGATCCCGTTTGCTAAACTCACCTGGATTTAGGGTCTGTTATGTTCCAGACTGAAAAAGTTCAGATGTAATCAATGCAGCTTCATTATATTAATTTTGTTCGGGTTTGATACAGCTTTTCTTCTTAAAAAAAATTTTTTTTTTAATTCCTCCCAAGTATGAACTATTTACTTTTGGAATGTTTGTGTTTTATGTAATTCAGACACCTTTACTGGACTGATGCAGGGACTAATCGCATAGAGGTGGCAAAATTAGATGGACGGTACAGAAAATGGCTTATCTTTTCTCTGCTGGATCAACCAGCAGCTATTGCTGTCAATCCAAAACGTGGGTAAGTACTACAGGACTTCCCAGAATTATTTTCAATACCAAAAAACCCCACAATGGTAAACTTTACAGGAAAGACTAAGGGAATGCTTTCTGGAGTTTCCCTTTACTAATGTTAGGAAATTTGTGTACATGGGAAAGTATTTTAGGATTAGATTTTATATGGGTGCTTGTGTTGGTGACAACACAAGGTGGGTCAAATAAAAGTCTCCTTTCTACAGTATTGTGTGCCCATTGAATTTCCCTGTTACTACTGAAATAGGGAAATTGATGGGAATGTCTCTTTACCAGCTCCAAGCAATACAGACATAGCCTCCTTCACAGTGGAAAGCAATGTAAATGCACTGGTACATTCAACAGCCGTGCTTGCTACATCTTGTATTATATGATGGATCACCAGATATCGCAGTATGTACTTCTCTCAGCTCGAGTAAAGCAGCACAGCTCTCTGAAGTCACCTGGGCTCTGCAGCTTTATCATGACTGATGGATGTTCAGTGTTCACAGTCATTTTTCTTCCACTGAGAATGAGAAACTGTCATTAAAACCACTCTTTCTCCAAATCAGGACACAAGATGCAAATGTTCTTCTTTTGGTATTTATCTTCTGTACTTGAAACAAGCTTGTTCAGTGAACTCTGTGACTTTCCTGACCACATCTGCAAAACATGTTGCTGAACAGCTTTATGTTCCACAACTGACCTGTTCCATGAACTCCAAGTCATGGTGACCAAATTCTGAACCATATTAAATTCTGGTTCTGTCCTTTCAGGCTCATGTATTGGACTGACTGGGGAAGGCAGCCAAAGATTGAATGTGCCTGGATGGATGGACAACAAAGAAAAACTCTGGTCTCTGAAGACCTTGGCTGGCCAACAGGTCTTTCTATTGATTATTTGAACAATGATAGGATCTATTGGAGTGATTCTAAAGAAAATATTATTGAATCCATGAGACCTGATGGGACAGACAGAACTGTAGTATTACATGGAGGTAAGAACTTACTATGCAATTAATATAATAGTAACCAAGATATATGCTAACAAGCACTTGGGCTTCACAAGTGGGGCTAGATTCGTGAGCTTTCAAAGAGTAAGTCTGTGTAGTGTTTTCTCCTCCTTTATACAGGGATAAATGGCACACCAGGTTCAGAGCTCATGATGCCTGGTAACTAGATTCCCTGAGGGTAATTTACATGACCCAAATAAGGGACAATGTGGAAAATTGGATTCTTGCTTTTTTATGTATATTATTAAGCAGTGTGCAGGTACAGTATCATGAAGTGGTTAGGCACATGAGGATGTATATATACAGCTGCAAATGTCTTAAAATGAAAGGATTATATTATATAGTTAAGCTGAAGAAGAGCAGCAGTTTTATCACTCCTGCTGGAGATTTGCTTGCTGACAGTCTATTGTTTGGTTCCTTTGAGAAGCAGGCAGTCCATACAGCCTTGATGTCTTTGAAGGCCATTTATATTGGATAGCTAAAGAACGAGGAGAAGTCTGGAAGAAAGACAAATTTGGAAGTGGAGAAAAAGTGAAAGTGCTGACCGTAAATCCGTGGCTTACTCAAGTGCGCATCTATCACCAGCACAGATACAATCAGTCAGGTAGGTAATCAGCACGCTGGTGAGCCATTCCTTGCTATGAGACCGAAGTTGGTATTGATGTCTTCAAAGAGCTTAGTAATCTTCTGATAATGCATCTATCGGTATGTGATAATATTCATTTCTGAAAACCTAAAAATGGAATAGAGGCTGGCAAGTATTTTCTGCATACCCAAATTGAAATCAACAGTGGACTACCGCACACTGCTCTTTAGAGTCTCTTAGTTCTAATATACGACCCTGTCCTTTCTCTCCTTCCCCTCCATCACAGAGTTGTCACAGAGGTGTCAGTCACAATATGAATTTATCCTGGTAACGTACAAAGTGTTGGCCACTTAATACTGCCTCCAAGGGTGATATTTCAGCTATGACATGTCCATAGTAATCACAGGGGAGGATGTCCAGAGGAACATCCAGCACACCCCTCTTTAAAGGTGTTTTAGCTTTCAGAATCAGAAAGCTCTGTGTTTCTTAGAGTTGTTCAGTTTTTTCTTGGTGCTACGCTGGCTCCCAACAGCCATGGTCTCTCCCTTAAGAATGTAAGAAAGGGCAGAGAGGAGGTTTTAATATAAATGTGGTATTTGGGCATCAGTTGTTTTAAAAAATGGATCCAGTCCTGTTTAGATTTTTCATGTGTGGTATTGATGAGATACACTACTGACTATGGAATTGCCCTGCCTTACCTCAGGAATATACTGCATTGCTGCTTCACCTGCCTTTATCGCTTTTTTTTCAGTGCCTAATCCTTGTAAAGATGTCTGCAGCCACCTCTGCTTGCTGAGACCTGGCGGGTACACCTGCACTTGTCCTCAAGGGACTCGATTCATAGAAGGCAGCAGCACAGAGTGTGATGCAGGTAGAATAATTTGTCAAACTGGAAATGAAAACAAAGGAAGCTTTTCTTTAGGAATGCAAATACATTACTGAATTAGAAATGTGGAGGGGTGAGCTAGCTGATATAATAGATGTTGGTAAGTCAGGACATCTGGCTTTTATTCTCAGACATCACTGATTTGTTGTCACGTTGTGCATTTCATTTAATCTCTTTGCATGTCACTTGTAAAATGGATATAGATATTTCACTCCAACCAGTCCAAACCCAGCTGCAAAATTGGTCACAGTTTCTGATTTTTGTTTTGAAATTCCAAAATATTTTATTTTCATTTTTTTAAATGCATTGATTTCAGAACTAGAGAATTTCTGGCAAATCATGGTTTACAATTATGTTTACAATTCTGTACAAGGTATTGTTTGATCAGTATAATAGAATACAATAGAAACTTGAAAAAAAGCTTACAGAACTCACAGTGTGAACAGAGATAACTTCTAGATAATTATTGTACACTGGAAAGCCTTTTAAGCACTAGAATTTAGTGCTTGGCTGTTGCATTGTAGCACAGTCCCCACAGTGCTTCCAGGAGCACCAATAAAATAGAATTGCTCAGCCTTTTCTAAGAAGAGAGAGCATACCACTGCAGGATTTCTATTTCTCTAGCTGACAGTCTGCATTCTTAGCGTACAGTGATGTGGATAGTAGCCAGATGGTCCTTGTACTTGTCCTTGCAACATATCTCTAATAAATTACGGTTTATAACATTATGCCTGGCATCGTTTCTATGGTTAATCTTCTCTGAATACTCTTTTTTTGCATTAAAAGAGAAAATGCCATAATTTTTTACACTACCTTACCTCTAAATTACATTTTCTTAATAATTGCTAATGCTCTTTCCTATTGCTACATGGTGTGAGCTGCAGAAAGAAGAGCTAGTAATATGATGTAATAGTGAGTGGAACTGTGCAATACATGGTTAAATTAGGGATCAATAACCTGTTGATTGCATTTGCTATTTGCTGTTTATTGCTCTGAGGACACTGCATTTGTTACTCTTTACTGAAACTGATTTACATAAAATGTCCAGGAATTAAGAAAACTGCTTGACCTTATTTTGAGGAAAAGGAGGAGACAGCAAATAGGATATACAGTACTGTCTCCATTTTTGAACTTCAGTATTTATCTTGAATTGAAGCAAATTTTTTAGCCAGTGAACTGTGACTGCCATAATTGACGTACTGACCAAACATAGCTTTTGTATATACAGTTGGTTTATTTGGTCCTTGCCGCATACTGCAGCTACTGAGAAACACAGTCTGCAAGACCTCTGCATTTTCCCCCTTTTGTATCCCTACTTGAAGGGAGTTTTACCTGTAAGGAACATTGTAGCAACAGACTTCCTCTACCTCTGGCTGATAAAAATTTTATGATAAAAGCGTTATGATCTAACGTATCAGTGTAAGACAGTCAAAGTCCATCCTTAATTTATAGCCTGTAATGATGTCTAAGATCCAGAGCTTTTCCTCTGTGAACTATACTTTTCTGACAGCATATCCTGAGCTCTTACTTGAAGGCTAGTACAACTTCAAGAAATTTCATTTTTTTTTTTTTCCACTTGACTCAGCATTAGGATAACATCAGAACCTTTGCAGCTCTGCGTTTGGGCCAGCTCAGGCAGCACTGCCACCTGGGCACCTCAGGGCTCTTGGAGTGTGGCTGAGACACTGGCATGATGAACAGGCTTTTGTGCTACCTGGTGCCAAGCTGTCAGCCTGTGCTCTGTACTGACAGAAAACTGAGAACTTTGGGTTTCTCTCTCGTTCTCGCTGTCAGGATGTATGAGAGTTTAGAGGGCCCTCCTATATGTGCATTTCCATCCACTGCTTTTCTTCATAAGTAAATGTGTCAGTTTGACCCTCTCTGTGCAACTTCAAGCTGGTTGGATGGAAGAGTCTGGGCAAAGGAGATAAAGTATTGCTGCTTTCTGAATGGAGAGCTTTGAAGGGTTCATGAAAGGCAGGTCCTGCTTGACCAACCTGATC